AGGTCTTCCCTTGCTCAACCTCCATAACAAAAGTATCTAAAACAAGAAAAACAGAACAGAATTGAAATTAGAACTTTATGAACCACCTTTCGGGTTTGGACTTAATCCCAAAATGTGATATACTTGTATTTTCTGTGATTATGTTGTGCTTACGTTTCTCATAGCAAGGAAACAATGGCCCTGGCTTCCCATTGATTGTGTGTGCATCCGAGGAGTTTGGTGGCAATCCCAAGTTGTTTGCTTTGTTGACAAACTCTTCCACATTGCCATTCCACCATTCTCCGAGTATAATTTCAGCTTCCCTGTATGGTTGTGGGAAGGGAAACGGGGTGCCTTGTTTAGGCAGGATGACAATTGCACCATAGACAGTAGCCCTCAGCCAAAGAATGTGTGCATGCCACCATAGAGTTCCTCTTTGGCCTGTTACATTAAAGTCATAAGTGTAGCTACTTCCAGTCTGAATTGGACATTGTGTTACATAAGCTGGTCCGTCTGCCCAACCGTTTCGATATTGCTTCAGTCCATGCCTGTAAGAACATATATAACTCAATCAGCTATAAGTTATGACATTTTGCTATATTTTCCTAATTTTGATTTGATCACTTGTTTGTTTGGTTAATTTAGTTTAACTCTTACCAGTGAATTGACATGTTGTATTGAGCATGGTTGGTAACATTGATGAGAACTCTGTCTCCTTCCCTGACATAGATTGTAGGCCCCGGAAACCTTCCATTTATAGTAACAATGGGTTTTGCATGGCACAATCTACTCACATTCTTCACTTGGACCTGTGAGAACACAGAGGATGTTATAACTGGAATCCATGCACGAAGTACAAATTTTTTCTTTCTTTTTTCTTCTTCCTTTTTCATTTTCAATTTGTTGTTTCAAAGCTGTGTGTACATGTAAATGATATTAGAGCATTTGAAACAACTCACATCAAATTGGTATTTCTTTATGGCAGCTTCTGCTGGAGAAGTGATAAAGCCCAGAAACCCAAAGCAAAGAAACAGCAACCCAGAGAAGAGTCTGTTCCGGCGACTGCTAGCCATTTTTTTCTCCCTGGTGATCACAATTTCACTTGTGGTGTGCTTATGTGATGAGGCAATGAGGCAATGAGGGACGAAGACGAAGATGCCAAATATTTATATGAATGTGTAGAGGCAAATATGCGCATTCCTTTTTAGTTTGTTCAAGGATTGTGTGGCTCATTAATTAGGTAGGAATTGTGAAGGGGTTGTACATGAAACCTTGTAAGCAAAATACTGATAAGGACTTCGCATTGCCTTTGACTGACTTAAAGGCTGGGATTGCTAAACCAAGGACAGGATTTCAGAAACCTCATATTTTTAAAATGGGCCAAGGAGAAGATTTCAGAAACCTCATATTTGAAAGGTACATT